TCACAAGTACCAGTCAGCACCAGTCTTGGCATTGACAGCCCTGTATATCCATTACTGCGTTGGGTAATTTTTAAGATCCTCCACCTGGAATTTCGTCGGATGTCGGCCCTGGCATGACGGAAATTCCCCAATCGATCCCTAGCACAACCGATCATATTGTCTGTAATGATGATCGACCCTGTTGCATTGGATGAGATCCTTGTACTACTACTAGTAGTCCTAACCTAAGTTAACTACTAGTAGTACTGAACTCCCTCCATTGGTTTCTTCCTCCTCCTCCCCCCCCGGGTATTGATGATGTTGCCTACGTAGCGAACGACCAAGTCGAGTCCAAGTTTCACCATCTACGATATTAGGTTAGATGGGCGACTTCCGAACTAGAACCAAAGTAAAGTCTCCATGATCCATTCCCACTCTATGCCAGATTGGGAAGGTCCCTATCATTAGGTTTCTATCGAGTCTTTACCATTATTGCCTCCTCTCAGACTAGCGTTCTGACTATAATATCCTGGTGTCTCGACTCTCAACGCCTCCAGATAGACCGGCATACTATGTCGGGTAATAATCAGTCGGAAGGTTGGACAGTTAGTACTAACTCGTACCTTTCTTCCCCTTCGACTTCCGCCCTGGACGTACTCCAATTTACCTCCGCAGCACGTGGACTGTAAGGCCCCTGCAGGCATCCCTTGCTGGCTAATCTATTTCGGCAAGGATCCCACGCACTGCCTGCTCGACGGTTTCTTATTGATTGATCTTGAGCTGGTTTGTTGAATTAAGTCTACGCGGGACCGTGAGATTGGTGTTCGAGGACTCGCAAGAATTGGGGTAAGGGGGTTAATTAGATCGAATTGCAACTTTTTTTATTTTGATATTCCGAAGATCTGGAATCCCATAGCAACATGAATCCATTCGGTTTCTTTTCCTTCTCCATTGACATTGACCCCATATCATCCAGGAATGGCACCGAGTTTTCCTCCAAACAAAAACAAGTAAGCGTACAAGTACCACCCGTCACCCGGCGAATGCTGTCTAGCGACAACAACGAGCCAATATCGCAAAATTATACCAAAAAGAACTCAAGCCAATTCCCTGCGCCGATTGCTGGCCCAACACGCTAAGCAAGAAAGCAATGCAACTTCGCGAAACAAAAGCAGTAATTAAGACACGGTTGCTCAGAAGCTAAAGTCAGATGCTCGAGTCATGGGGTGGTAATACATATCGACAGAAATCCAAAGTGTACATTGCCCATATCTCTCCATCCAAAAGAGAAGTTATTCAAAACTGTACAAATGTAGAAATAGGTTAAAATAAGAGAGAAGGCAGGCAACCTCAGGCAGGCCGTGTGTGGCCTGGGGGAGGTAGTCCAGCAGCCGCCGCTCCATACGGGAAGTAAAGCTCGGGGTATGGGGTGTGATAGGGTTGGGGTGGCGGCGGCTGGAGACCGTGAGGGCCATGGGGGGCTGGAGGGAAGGGCGCTACAGCCCGGGGATCGATGGGTGCATACGGCGCCATTGAGCCCCGCGTTGGAGGCATTGGTGCCAGTTGGGGGTGTGGACCAGGAGGGCCGGGCGCCAGCGAACCCGGCCCAGGCATTGTTGGTGCTGGAGCAAGACCTGCGTCGGCTCTCGTGGGCCCCCCAAAAACTGGGCTGTCCGATTTCTTCTTTTTGCCTACGGTCTTTGGAGGCTCGGCTGCCTTTCTGGCAGCTTCGGCCGCCCGATCAGCCTCAATCTGGGCCTTGGATCGTTTCGGGTTACGGGTCCGGCCCTCCCGGTTGAACCGAGCCCAGTGGTTGAGCATGGCCTCTGTCCGCTTTGGATTCTTGGAGTTGGCGATCTTTTCGCGGCGAGCCTTCTCAGCTGGGTCAAGTAATTCATCCTGGGCAACCCCTGCCTGAGTGCTGGGGGGAGTCGCAGTTGCTGAATCTCCGCTGGGCGCCGGTTCAATTGGCGCCAACTGAGCCGTTGCAGGACGTGATTGTAACGGCCCAGCGGAAGCTGCAACCTCGCGGCCGTGACCACGGCCAACTGACCGAGCTGGCGCCACAGGCGCCACGGGCTGTGGAGCCTCAGAGCCCGCACGAGACATTCCTCGCGCAGCTCCCCGCCCGCGGCCCCGGCCCCGGCCACGAACTGAGCCTCGTGAGGGGGCCGGAGAGCCTGCGGGTTGAGTATCCAGCTCACCAGCACGACGGGTGCGAGTGCGCCGCTTGACAAATGAGTCTTCCTCCGTGGGTGCCGGTGTCCCGTTTAGTGCCTCGTCGGTCTCATTGGCTTTGTTGGCCGCTTCCAACTCTGCAGCCTTGCGCTTGCGAGTTGCCTTACCGACGAACTCCTCTCGCGGAGGGTTCTGGAATTTGGGAACATGCTCAACGCCGAATCTCATAATTGTTGGCCAGCCATCAGGGTTAGGGTTGTTCGGGCCAGCTTTGGCAGTCATCTTTCTGAATTGAGCTGGCGTAGGCTTGAATCCACCTTGAACGAAGGGGTTCTGGTTGCGAACTTTATCTTCTTTCGTTTCATGCTTGTAACCGTAGAGCATTGCCTCCTTCTTGTCCTCATAGACCTCGGGTCTATCGAGCTTCCGTGGATCGCTGGTTGGCTTTACATTTTGCCGGGTTGCATGTTTGCAGAGCTTTTCGATGGCCAAGTACTCGTCTTGCCATACCTTCAGGACACTGGCAATGTTTTCGGTTATAGCATAGAGTTCATCGCTTGAGCGTAGTTCAGGATCACGGAGTTGGACCAAGAAATCTTCCAGAGGCGAGATCTCAAGGAATTCTCCTCTAGAACTCTTTGAATTTTTGTAAGGTTCTGGGCGTACTAGCAATTCAGATGTATCACGTTTCTTGACACGTTTGGGGTCGTCGAAGACATTCATCCAGGTTCCACGGATGTTTGCCGACGTCTCGTCAAAACCTCCGGAGAATTTGCTGATTTCATGGAGGTTCCAAAGGTTATGAATACGTTTGTCTAAGGACACCGAGTCCTCTTGGCGAGAAAACTCGTGAAGTTGATTGAAAAGAGCAAGATCTGACTCGCCTTCATGACCTTCTCCGTCGCCTTCGGCTTCAGGGCCGTCAAGGTCGTTCTGGTCATTTTCGTTATCGTAACCTTCCATGGCTTCAGCACCTTCATGAACACCATCATCATCATCATCATCATCATCAGCGGCTTCCGTTAGACCATCATCTTCGGCCTCTGGGGCCTCATCTGCTTCAGACACTGGGGCTGTAGGTACAGTGCCATCCTCAGGCTGTTCATCGACGTCATATGCTTCTTCTTTCTCTTCATCGGCGACGCCATCATACAAAGAGAACTTGGCAATGTGCGGATGCATCGTAGCAATGTGTTCTTCGAGAGCCTCATTTTGAGAATACGGATCGTCATCTGAGGACTCGAAGAATTTCCCACACCATGCGCACTTAGCTCTAGGAGTGGTCATGGGTGAAGGGGATGGCGAGTGAGTAGATGTAGAATGAGCATGGAGTGGCTCGGAGAATTGTCGGCGCAGCTGCGAGTCGTGGCTGGCCATGTCCGAAGTATGGCTGTCCATGTCAATGTCGCTTTGGGCGACAGGAGCCATGGCTAAGAAAAGAAAAATGACTTGGAAACTTCGATTCCAAGTAAAATATCAAAGAAACAAGACGTAAAATCGGTATCAACGATGAGAGTTGATGTGGTTTTCACTCTTTAGGAGACCGTGTTAGTAGAACTTGGGTTGAAAAGTTCGCTTCCGGTGCCAAGACACCCGGAGTACGTGCAGCGCAATCTTAAACAACAGAGCGCAGCATGTGCAATAGTAGAAGAGGGAAAAGAACACCACGTGTGGCAGGTAAAAAACAGACAGGCCGGCCGCTAAAAGAAAAGTGGCCTATCAACAGAAGAAACCATAGTGGTAAAAACTGAACAAAGGTTTGAAGTAGGTACTTGGTAGCCAGACTAGAAGAGTAGTGCCGGCCAGATACGCGGAATGTAACATACCTTTTCGAACTGAAGAAGTAAAGAAGCCGTATGTGGAAAATATGGACAAAAAATAATAAATGGTGTTGGGATTGCGTGTGGTGTTGGATGACAAGTTGACGACGAAGAAGTTGTTTGGGTCTACAGTAGCTCGCAAGCCTGCGGGTTGGTCGCGAACGGCTGCCAGGGATAGTAGTACTAGTAAATTGAAGTCGTAGTCTTGCCTTCCTTGAAAGGGAAAAGTCGAACGCCGAGCCGGTAGGCAGAGGAGACTCGGTATAGTCCCAACCACGCTCAAGACAGAACAAGAAGGTTGCCAAAAAAAAAAAAAAAAAAAAGATAACGTGTAGAGTTGATGATGGAGGACAAATTGGCGACTTCGGAGCAGTGTAGTAAATTTAGATGTCCGCAAAGTAGAACTTTGTCGCGGTAAGGAATTCGGGCGGGTATGCAGAAAAAGAAAATGGGGGAAAAAAGACTATGCTCTGAACCACGGGCGAACCCGAAATAACCAAAGGCTCTCCAAGCGAAACAGAGCACAAGTAAACCCGTAATAGAAAGGAAAATTGGAAATCTTTAGAGAAGTCCTCTGCTGGTAACATGCAGTACGAGAATGTCGAAGTGGTAAAATCTTGAGCGAAATAAGCAGGTTTTGCTTCCAATTACGCTCGTGAAAGAGAAGAAAAGCGATGGGTACAGTAGGGGAGAAAGCGCAAAGAATTAGTGATGAAGAGATTGAAGTAATAGACAGTGGAATGAGCTGTTTGGAGTAGACGTTCCTGGGCGAAAGGACGTTGTACAGGACCAAGATGGAGTAGTTGTTGTCATGTAGTAGTAGAGGAAGTATGAACGTCTGACGAAAGGTTGGCAGACAGACAGAAGAAAAGAAGTGGGAAGAGACAAGAGAACTTGACGCGCACAGAGGGGGGGGTATCGAGAAGAAACAGAAAGGATAACAGTGGGAGAGGATATAGGATTCGAGGAGGAGAGGAAGAGATGTCGCGTTGTGTTGTAGTGAAAGATGGCAGATGAAAAAAAATGACCCTGCTAACAGCCCGACAGCAACAAACCTCTTCTCTGTATACAATAGGAGGTAAGGTAGTGAATTTACTATTGGTACCATACGGTATGAGAGGTACGCGGATTAATTACCTACCTAACCTGACCTGGTCAAAGCATCGACGGGCATGGTTAAGTCTGAAGGCCCTATTTTACTCCAGTACGGTAGTGCCATATTTCTTACCTTATTTTACCTGGCCGGGACCCACCGTGGGAAAGTCGATTATGATGGGCCTCCCGGAAAAAAATCGCCTCCGGACAGATCTTCCGCCTAGCCGCATTACATAGTACTGTTCAACCAATCCGAGCCACCGTGTAGTTTTGTTACCTGTCTGTATTCCAATGTACGGGCACAGGTCCCAATCTGGCTTTTCCTTTGAGAGTACAGTACTAACCCCGAGCACGTATGTACCTTTGGCCGTCTCTCTGACAAGAGAAAACCAACAACCGATAATCATTCTATGTATTTGTTTGGTATCTTCCAGCTGATTCTAAGGAACAGGGGTCTCACAAAGAATAAAGATAATATCATTGGAGGCTATCAATAGCTCCCTGTATCAATGAACGTTTCACAGACCCTGCCAATTATTATCTGCCCTGCAATGTTTCTCAATGGATGGCAGCAGGCTGTAATCTTATTCGGTTCTGTAATCTATGATACCGAAGCTTGACATCATATCTGCATTCGGTTACCACAACATAAGTCAGTCGGGTCCACCAACCTCTACTCCTTAACATAAGATATAGCGTACTCAACTAGATAGAAATGAAGGAATCATGCCGATTTATTGGAAGAGATGCTACGTGGTGGTTGATGTTACAAATTGCAAGTTGTATACGAAAACCAAAGACGGGCAAATAGAAATTACTCATGAGAAAATGCTGCGTATAGCTGCGTGACTGTATTTTTATATGTATCACACATTATGTCCTTTAATGGTTTTTCTCTCCAACATCCAGTGCAACCAGAAACCGACTAACACAATTGTAAGCTGCTGCAGTGGCAGTGATCTCCACAACCTCCCGATCATTGAAGAGTCTCTTCAATTCTTGAAATACTTCCTCGGGTACAGTAACAGTTTTTGTCATGGCGTCTGTATACTTCAACACCGCAGCCTCCTCGGGCCTTAGCACCTTCTCTTGCACTTTCTGGAGGATGTCAGCCTGAGCGTTGCGAACAACCTCCACCGCATCCGCACTGCATCCACCTTCCAAGAGCAAGGGCGAGTGCTGATCCCATTCGAACCAAGCTCCGTTGACCACAGCGATGCGGCAGATGATAAGTTCACGAATAGCTTGGGAGAGGCTAGTGCGGGTTCGGATAGCCCCGATGAACGAATTCCACCCATCGGCAACTGGAAATGAGTGCAGAAGGGCGAGATCGAGAGGTATTAAGCCCTTTTCACCGCGTCGAGTTTGCACCCGACTGAGGACTTCTGCCTCTTCGGGGGTGGTAGTAGGGGGTGGGTTGGGGACATATGGAATACGCATGTCGAATAGTTTCGCTTAGTAGTAGTTATTTTTCAGGCCACTAAAGGATAGTAAAGCGGATGATGATTATCTTGTTGAATTATTGAAAAGTGAGTACTGGATTAATTGATCCGGTAATCGGTAGACTAACCTTCTTTAATGAATAGAAATGCTGCCCTTAACCGAGATACTGTACAGTAATTATGTTCAGAATATATATATATATATATATATATAAAGTCATTAATTGTACCATCAGGCTAAGACAGGTGGGAAGATACCACTATTTATGCCGAGTCATTTATCATCTTGTCGTACCCCACGAGTCGCGGAAAAGTATGCGGGATCGAAGCCGAAGCCGCGGGTTGAACTATTAAGGTCTCCCCGCAGACCGTTCCTTCGGTTATCAAAAACTGTCAAATACAACTCTTTTACGTGATCCCGTCATGAATAAACTTACCTGTATCAAACTAAGCGAACAGCTTTGTAACACCTGGGGTCCGTGTATACTGAAAGAAAATCATGCTGCCACAATAATAGTTAAATATATAATGCTAGCTTCGCTTCGCTCAGCTGCGCAACCAATTCGGAACAACGTATACCTGAGATACATACAAGGTAGCTGCTATAGTTCTCATGAGCACAGTAGCAAAGTTCTCTTTAGGATCTTCTATGGTCATCGTCCGCTCATAACTGAAGATGATCCTCTAATCTAAGCAAAGCTCAAAGATATATCCACCAATATATATACTAACAAACGTCTGGACAAAGAATTATATGTTAATACTGTACAGCGAGGAATAGCCTCTACGAGTACTGTCAATAGTAATGAAAGTTTGGGGTTGATATAGAGCAATGCTAGTTTTAATGGCAGTCTGATATACTCCTTGATTATAGTTATCTTTTTTTTGTCAGTCAATTTCTAATTGCTCGAAACGAGTTTATCATTCCTATAGTAGCGTACTTACTACTAGTGAAGATCGGTGCTCTTCCCATCCGAGTCATGCAGATTCAAAATTAATGACAAAGTAATTTTGTCAGGCCCAGATAAATACGACTTCATAAATTCTTCAGTTACAGGGGAAATCGTCGAGGCAGTTATGAATGCAAGACCTAGGACATTTGCTTGTTCTTGGTTCCCCAGACTAGATCATATCAATCACTATAGCGAATACTCTAATTTTAAATGAGGTCTACTTTGATATATGTCCAAAGAATTTTTTTTTTTTTTTTTGCCGGATAAGTATGGAAGATGGAGTGTTCGAACTCGTAAGTGGTTGAGCCTACTACTAAGAGGACTATCAAGGTGTGCGATTCAGCTGTCTTGCCGGTGTGATATCAGAGTCATATGCAACTTGACTATCCTCAATATTGTACTCCAATGCAGTCAGGTCCCATATGGTCTGTAGGTCTCATCCTCATCATACTGACCACTTCAAGCGAGGTATGTACTTGGCCAGCGGCGATGCCATCATGCGGCGTAGTTACCATGATGAAACATTCTTTAAGAAACTTGGCCAGAAACAGTCACCAGCGACCAATATGAAGGCGCTATGAAGCGTAAATAAACAGAGGTAAACAATCCAGCCAGAAATCGTATGTTCTACAGGAAGCCATATTATGATATGCATTTCCTAGTATGCAACCGAGTCTACTAACTGATTTACAGTGGACGCTAACGCTTCTTGGCACAGGTCATCAGGTCTCCACCGCCCAAAACACTGAATTCCCTCAGGGAGCATAGGCTAGATAATTTAGTCCAACTCCATACCGCCTCCGCTCTCCAGTTCTCAACTGATGGTAAACACTCACTCGTGGTGAGAACGAGTACTAGCGTCACACGATGCCTCCGAAGTCCGCGAAACCAACCAGCGATGAGCTTCTCGCTCAATTTGACGACCTAGGGGTCGACTCGACCGCGGACCAGCCTACCTCCAAGCCAGCTACCACAGCTACCACAGCTACCACAGCGCAAACCGAAGACGACATCCTTGCCGAACTTGATAACCTAGCCTCCCAGCGTCCGAGCAGTGGGCCCGGTACCCCACGTCTATCAACAAATGAGCCCAGGCCGTCTGTCAAATCCCCTAAACCTGCTGCAGCTACACCCTCAACTGGACGTTCTAGTGAGGAGAAATCTGTGCCCCGTAAGTCCACGGAGAGTACCCGGGTTTCATTTGCGGTGAACAATGATCCGGATGTGCAGCCACCCAAGACCGAGAAATCAGCAGTTAAAGAGTCCGCCCCGGGCGGTGGTAGTGGTAGTGGTGGTGGATGGTGGGGAGGCCTTTTCGCAACTGCGACTGCGACCGCCAGTGCTGCAATGAAGCAGGCCGAAGCGGCTGTGAAAGAAATTCAACAGAATGAAGAAGCCCAGAAATGGGCTCAGCAGGTGAAAGGAAATGTTGGCGCACTGAAAGACTTCGGTATGTACCATCCACGTGCAGCTAGCACAATTTCTTACTAACGAATGTTGTCAAGGTGGTGAGCTTCGAAGCATGGCAATCCCTACGTTTACCAATCTTATCCACACTCTTGCACCCCCAATTTCGTCCCATGAACGCCTCCAAATCCACATCACTCACGACATCTCGGGCTACCCCGCCATTGATCCGATTGTTTACGCTGTCTTCGCTCGCGTGATGTCCCAGGTCGAAGGTGGGGACCTTCTTGTGATTCAACGTGGTCAAGAATCTGCGCCAAAGCGGGGGTTGGATATAACGGGTAGCCAGTCTACCCCTGGCTGGCGCGATGGCCCGTGGTGGCGCACAGTTATGCCTGGAACCCCTCGCAGTATCTCGGCCGTGCGTGGCTCTGTAGAGGCTAGCAAGCTCGCTCGCGCAAGCGCAGAGTCTTACGCCACGGAGTTCTTCTCTGCAAAGGGTGGAGTCGAAGAAGCTGCGAAACAAGCTAGCCAGGTTCTGAGCGAATCCAACCCTGTCCGGAGCAGCGATATCTTCCTCGCCATCCAGGCTATTAGCCAAACCTCCTCCACCGAGCAGTTCCAGGCTGGTCCAACCACTGACAAGCCGACCCCGCCGGGCGTAGTTGATGTTCCCAGCGCAACGGAAGAGGAGGTGACCTTCGCTCTCTACCTCCATGACCCCATTCACGGCATCGCCTTCCACACAATCTCCCAGGCTGTTCCACAGAAATGGATCGACTGGCTCGATGCAGCTGTCCCCGCCACCGAAGACACTGCAGCCGATGACATGTGGCACCGAGCCCCTGTTTCGGAAGACATTGCTGAGATCATCGAAAGTGGCGGCGTCGACCCTCGTGAATGGGCTGCTGAATGGATCGAAGAAGCGCTCACTTTAGCTATCGGTGTTGTGGCGCAACGCTATGTGGCCCGGAGAATGGGTGTTGGTGAGGCGGGAGTTGCAAAGGGTAAGATGCGTGCTGAGCAGGCTTCAGTCGTGGAAAGCGGTGCAGGAGAGGTGGCGCGGGCGCTCTAAGACTGTTTCGTTCCATAGCTGTCTCTTTTCAGTTGTTCTACCTGCGACTCTTATTCTTAAAGACCATGATCAGATGATACTCTAATGCCGTTTTTCTCCTTGTTCTTCTGCGTTGCTTGTCCGCGTCTCTTTAATACAGTCATGCCACCACAGAGCTATTTTGCAAATAGATTTATCGCCTCGTAAGGCGTACATAATCCTCAACCGAATTCCTTGTCCGTATTATATATATAAAAAAAAAAAAATCATCAAGCGATGCAACAAAAGCATATATGTGACAGCCGTATGTTCTCCCAATGCAATGATTGAATCCAACAGTGAAGACTCTAGCGCTATAAGCCGAAAGAGAGTCTTCGCGGGTATCTAGTTATCTCATCATCTCATTTTGTTCAATGTTTCATCTCAATCGTCAAGATTAATCGGCCCCTCCAGATCAGGGACATGCCAGAAATTGGCACGAAGAGCCGTGACGCTAAGACAAGTCAGCTCTTATCCAAAGTTCACACTCAGGGAGTTTTCACTGGCAATGTCATACCTTGTATCACCGTTCAACACCGTATGGGCATCCGTGCCCTCCCGACTCGACTGCAGGGTCTTCTTCATCTCCGATAACTCCGCAGCCCAGGTAAAATCTATCTCCTTGAGATGCGACCCGCTCGTCCCGTTGACGGCGGGCCCAGTGTGTCCATTCACCTTCTTATCCGCGGTCACTTCGCCATACATACAACCGCGCGGCCAGTAGTAGGGTAAGGCCTCCGTCCAGCGCACAGGTCTGCTCTCCACGTCCTCCCGCATCGGCACGTTTAGATTGTACAGTTCAACATCCGCATGCCAATGCTCGTACAGATAATTGACAACCTTCACGGCATGTCGCGCCGCAGCGCTGATGATGTCATCCGGCTGCGGATCTTTACTTCCGAAGGAGATAGCGATGGCGCGCTTGCTGCAGGTGGCCGCCTCGAGGGCGCCACCGACCGTTCCGGATGAGAGGTTGTACACAGTCGAGGCATTGCGACCATGGTTCGGGCCGGAGATGACTAGGTCGACGGGGGGACGATCTTGGAAGAGGTTGAACAGGCCCAATTGGACGCAGCTGGCCGGGGTGCCATTTCGGATGACCACCCATTCGGGCTGGGTCTCGGTCTCTGCGGAGTCGAAGGTCTCATCCCATGTTCCGTCGTCCCGGAAGGCAGAGGGGGGTACGTAGGTTGCCTTCAGGGAGGCTTCTATCAGGTGGGCTTTGCCGATCCAGGATCGCGAGGCGGCGGGAATGGCTACGGAGACGAGGTGGCCTGCGTCTTGGAGGGCGTTGACGAATGGGCGAATGTAAGGCGAAAGACGCTTCGAGGGCGGTCCATCATCGTTCACCACCTATTTTCTTGCAAATCCGCGGGGGTTCTGGTTAGTTCTTGTCCTATTGCTTCTCCGGTTTGGGTTGGTTGCATTGAGTTCTTTTCTTTTCTTTTCTTTTTTTTTTTTTTTTATGATTTGTTCCGTAATGGTCTTGTGACACGGGGGTTGACCATACCAAGATATGCATGTTGAAGGTAGTCCGGTCTGTCGATCTATAGGGCTTGGCGGAGGTGGGAAAATCAAGTGGTGATGAAATCGGGATTCCCGTTCGGGCTTTCTTTTTGGGAACTACAATCTTTTGAACTGCTTTGGATCTTCTTCTGGACCCGAGTTTGGAATCCGCATAGTATTTATAGGGCAGACTCTGCTGGGTAAGAATTGAGCCTGGAGTGCCATTTTTCATTACTGCATACCCCGACTACTACCGAAGACATACCGGGGAAAGTAGTCTCCAAAGTGGTCACGGTGAAGATGTTGGAGCTGCGGGGGGTCCCATATCGGAATGTGGTATTGTACATTAGTCATGACTGAGACCGTACCTCCCGTATGGAGAAGAATAACTAGACAAAGATGGAAAGATTACCGTACGTAGGGATACATAACCAGACCACGGGTATCCCAAAAAGAGGCTGCGGTGAAGAGCCATCGCACTCGTGGAGAACGACAATGTCACCGTCCGCAAATAACGGTTAGTGAGCAGCTGGGAAACTAATCAGAGCCGCGGCAATGGAAATTCTCGAATGGTCAGATGGTCTTCATCGGAAGACTCTGTCTCAGGAGAGCCCATCAGGTGACGTGAGAGAGCGCCGGGTTGGGTGATGTTTATATACTCCGGCATGTCGTCCTTTGTTTCAGAAGGGAATTGTCAAGATTGTCGACGGTATATATACGAGACACAATGCTAGACTGATATGTACTCGACCCAGAAGGGACGCACTCTTGTGTACTAACTTCTAGGGTTTGTTTGCCGAGTGTTGTGTTCTTATTGAGATCTTGTCTCACATCACTAGTCCGATCTGACTTGGTTTGAATGCAGCAATCAATGATAAGATATGATTTGTGCCAACAAGTTGAATTCCCTGTTCCCAGGACACTTATCTTTGACTGTTAAGGGGGTATATGCATGAATTCATATTGCCGCCTGTTAAGGGCTTCAGGGCGGCTCGTGCAATGCCTTCCTGGATAGGTCTAGCGCCTTGAGACCTTGGAAGCGACGTTATTTTAATATTTTCATATCCACCGAGTGAGGATCCAGGCTTCGCTTCAGGAGAAATATCGGGAGACACTGAATTCAAAGTCAGGGTTTTTCCCAGCTAGTGAATGCGTTCAATGAGCCTCCGCATAATATTCCCTCTGCGCAAAGAGAGCCGAGATAGTAAACTATATCAACTGCAGGGATACTCTTCTATATATATCTAGTACTACGTATCTCCTTGGGCGATATGGAAGGTTACCTAATATGGACCTTCCTAGTAGTTTATTACTTCTCCGCAGATGGACTTATCGCCGTGTGAACGGTATACTATATGCAATCCGTTCTTTTTTTTGTCTTTTACTTTCTTTGTTGTCGCATTGTGAGGCGACTTCGGACCCAGTGGAAAAGAGGATCATGATCACCAAAACTACTAAGTACTTAAGGTGGACCCATCCCAAGAGCAAACCAGAAAGGGTCCCCCTTCTAGAATAGTATGATCCCTGTTCATGATTGACTGATTGCAGATGAATTTTAGTGTTGTTTAAATCATGATAATCGGTTGTTGATTCTTTTTTTGTTTTTTTTTTTTTTTTATCCTTTTTGTTTGCATTTTCCATAGCGGGTCAGGGTTGGATTCGCGAGTCAGAATGGTCAACCAAGGGCACATGGGGCAATGCGCCGAACGCCCCGTTCCACCATTCCTCGTTTTCCATGAGATGATTCTGTCGCGTAATCCCAGTCTTGTCATCTCTTAAGGTCCCTAGTGGTTTCTTTGACCTCGCTATCAAATCAACCAACCAGAAATAGAATGCGGATCAGTCGGATGCAGCGGTGGTACAGAAAATTTAAAAAGAAAAAGTAAAATAAAAATAAATTAAAAAAAAAGTCCTCCGTAATGGATGGAAGTGTAGTCAACATACTGACTAGCCGGTCTGACTAGTACTGTGTAGGACGGAGTACAGGAAATCATTTCAGCATCGCTGGTCGATCACCACGCAGGAATCAATCCCACCGAGTAAGAGTGAGAACTAAGACATTTATACTTTATAAACCTTCGCAGGAAGTTACTTCAATCTGAAGTGAAAATAAAAAAGAAACCTCCTTTCTTTCCCCCCTCCTTCCCCCCCCACTGCATTCCCTGGAATCAACCACCCAAAGTGAAACGTGGTGAAAGCACACAATCAGTCTTTGGTCTGTGCGGAACCTGAACTTAACTTATCAGTTTTAGCACCGGAAGGCCGATCGCCGCAAAATCTTTGGTGGGGAACCAAGTCAGCGCATTCGAATTTCTACCTTCCATCCAAGTCACACCATCATCTTTTCATCATCTCACCTCTGTCGCCTGCTTGCCGTCCTCCGAAAGAAGTCATATTGTCCGCTATTTAAGAAATCTGCGTCGCGGTCGGTGCTCTTGGTTGTTGTGAGAGCCCTCCGTCCCTGAAACACGACGTATCCCCAACAACATACGCGCCAAGGCCTTGTCAGCTCTCTCAAGGTCAACCACATCTCTCCCTTCCCACTCCCCCCCCTCCCCCCGACTCCCATTCCCCTGTATGGACTGCGGGAGTACTGGTACGGCTGCGGGCATTGACCCCAAAATTCTGGATAATTGGCAAACCGACACTACTTTTTCGATATCACCGTGGGAACATCCACCATACGAACAACCGCTAGAGTGGGACAACAGCCAAGACTCGACCCAGGACGATGCTGATATCGTTGAGTTGAATTCCCTGCATGGGTCTCTGGCAAAAAACCATTCCAATGCCGCCTATTTAGATCAATCCTGTGGTTTCCACAGTGGTGAGAGCAGGTGCGGCTCCCTCTGACTTTTTCACCCCGTGCATCAAGCTGATGGGGTTTGCCCCGATAGCAAGACTACCTCACCGGAGAAATTTGGTATCCACGATGGACCGATCGAGGGTACCGTCAGCGGCACCGTCAGTCCGAGAACCTTGCCATCCTCGGCCGACGATAACTTCCAGCTGGATGAGTCATGGCCCCATTATCAACTGTTCAACGCCATGACGACCGGAATCCCCATGGAAGCACCGCCGCTCCTCTATCCCTACAGCAAAGAACCTGCCACCTCGACGAACACCGTCATTGTCGATGATGTTGGGGAGCTCCCGCAGGGGCATGGGCTGTCCGACATCTCATCTGAGCACTTTTTGGCGTTTCAGAGCATGCCCCAGCCCTTCACCTTCAATGCTCCGGACGTTTGGACGGAGCCTTCTACTAACCCTTCCCCCGAGAGCATGACGAATCAAACAACCCCAGCTTCGATTCCGCTAGGATCGGAACTGCCAAACAAGGAAATGAACGCGGTCCGCGATTTTCAGACCCCTTTGAGGTCCCTCGAATCGCGCTGGCTCGACAGCCTGGAGTCTCAACTTCCATCGAACATGACTTCGCCTGCCTCACTGTCAACTATTCCGCAGGGCCCAGGATTTTTCAAAGAAGAAAACCCGGGACAGGATGGGTTTCAGTACAAATCGGAGAGCTCGTCGGTGTCCGGCGACTTTTCTGCTGGTGTATACGAATGCTCCTACTCTGCGACGAGCGATGATGCCCCGGCATTTGCCGAGCAACAGCTGGACGAAGAAGGCCCTTGGAAGGGCACTCAGAAGGATGAGCCTGGGATAGCGCAGCCCGTCCAGAGCGCGACGGCTTTCATGGTGAGCGAGACGCCATCCGAGTCATTCTTTGTTTCGGTCCCGTCACGATCTCGGGCATCGTCGTCGGCAGCACCGCGGTCGACTGCTCGGCCACAGGCGCTCGCACTGCAGTCTGTTGCGACTGTTCGGAAACGTAAACAGCGCAGCTCGAACCATTCTTTGGACCTTGGTCAGCCCAAGCCCCTGCAGATTGTACAAGAGGATGGCCAGGGCGGATCCATCGCTTCAGCAGACTTCGTATCCCCGCCACGTGGGGCGCGTCGTAAAGGACCTCTGACCATGGTCGGTCGGGCAAATGCTGGATTGCGAAGGAAGAACAAGGACACCTGCGTGCAGTGTCGTCTAAACAAGCGAAAGGTATGCTTTCCGGCGATCACTCTCTCCATCCATAATGGGTACTGATGAAATGGGAAAAGTGTGACGGAAACGCTCCATGCGATGCTTGTCGTCCTACGCTCCACGAGCAACCATGCGCTCGGGCTTGCTTTGCAAACATCGTGGAGTATGGAACATGCAACTATGTCTGTATGTAAACACTCTATTCGTCCTCAATCCGGTCATATGCTAATTTACCTAGCTCAACGAGCCGTCAACCATCCTACATTGGATAGGACAGGTCGTGTTCGGATGGATATTCCGGTAGAGTTCGACTTGAACGATCTCATATCTTTCCTCGGTGAACGGCAAGGCCGATTCAACATCCGCGCCAGCCAAGCCTGGGGTTCTCTATATGTTCTTGACCTGGGAGAAACTTACAAATTTTTGAGGAGCTTGAGCGATTACAATGGCAACTCTCGGTCGAACTTCCTCGAGTTTATTGACCGACGGATAGTCGAGTCGAAAGATAAGTCGAAGAACTGGCTGACCTGTGTCAAAGACTGTGACCCAATGAACAATTTCTATGTGAGTGCCACAACCACCTTATCAGGTGAATAAGACCACTGACGCTCTTAAACTTCAGACCTTACTCTCACGTTGGAACAACATGCCCAGTCGTGCGAGCTATAGTTTTGTTCCTCTCCACCAAGGAGCCCAGGAAAGGCCAATGGATATCCATAATGCGGACGACCGACGTGAGATTCTCCTAGCGGCGCAGCTTTCCCGCATTGTGTGCCGGATGCTGGAGGTTGAAGGATTCCGAAAGTTGGAACGAGACTTCTACAACATCAAATGGAAGCAGATTTCTCAGGAGACGCATTTGCGTTTCTTGAACGAGCTAGGAAATATTCTCCTCACACTCCGCTGGCGAGTTTCCTGGTGGAAGCGCCTTGGAGACGGTGGTCAAGATCCCGACCCAAGCAAGCAGCACTATGTGGATCGGGTCGACCTGCTCTGTAGGATTCTTTATGTTTATTACACCTGTGTGTTGGCTAAGCTTCCTTCCTGGTGCGCTGCCGATGTTCCCAAGGGGGTGTGGTCTACGTACGCCGATACGGAGAATGCGGTCTGGGATGACTTCCCAGTAGACCCTACCGATGAAGGATTCCAGAACTGGATCGACAGGGGCAAGGAGCTGGTCGAACAGGCCGGTGCCCCGAATGGTACCTCCAAGATTGCACATTAGAAGGTACGATTA